CTGATGCAGAATCACGACTGAGAAGTTGTTGTTACGACAGTTTCGCTGAGCGAGCATCCTACGTCACCGGGCGAAGCAACTTCTCCCCAGCAGTGTCGGGCAAGAGTAGAGGCGAAAGGATGGTGGAAAAGAGGACCTCCTGGAATATGTATGGGAAGGTTGTTTTCGCCCCTGATTCGTCAGGCGAGCCTCAGGCGAGCAGACTGGGACAAATTCATTTCTAAAACTTTGAAAATTTATAACTCGAGCTGTGAGTGTCTGATTGATGCGTAGTTCAGATCGTTGGAAATATGGTTTAACGCACTTTCTCTTAAAAATATGTTCAGTCCCATAAGTCCAATTATTTGACGCGTAGACGGTTGTTTTGTACTATCAAGTTATGTTGTTTTGTGAAATGTTTGAAAAGGCTTTGTGTAATTAATAATTGGCGTTGTTCTATGTCTAATGATAGTAGCAATGTTGTAATTAATAATGTGTGGATTGATAGCGTTTTTTGATGTGCTTCGATTCCAAGTGGGAATCAATCCTATGGTGGGGATCTTTGAAGGGAGATGACCATGTTTTCATCAAAGTGTTGGTACCACATGCATGAGTCAGTGTCAATGCATTACATGTTAAGTGACATTGCATAATTATGAGTTGAATGATATTTGATGATGTTGTGACATAAGTGATGTTTTGGTGATGATGATTGAGTGATGATATATGGACATTGTGAATGATTTAATGAAGAGACAGTGTGAGTATGTGAGTGATGTATGATGAATATATGAGTTACTGATAATTGTTGATGTAACTACTATATCTACTTCTTATATTTTTTTGTAATGATTTGTGATTACTCATCCTTCCTGTTTGAATGTTGTCTCCACGTGGGTAACACGTAGGTGATCAAGATTATCTCGTAGATGCATGGAGACTTAGCCTTGGATTCGTTTTACTTTATTTCAGTTGATTAGGGGATGTCTTACTCTGATATGTAACATCGGGGTCGGAAACATTCAAGTGGAATGATATGTTCTTTATTTTTAATTAATATGAAGTTAAAAAGTTTTCTTTAATTGCTTAAGTGTTTTGAGTCATAACTTTAAATGACGGAGTGCGAGGAAGTTTTCTTTGAAGTATTTTAAAATAAATATGTTTTGAGATTAAGATTTCCATTGCGATGGTTGCAAATGTTCATTGAGTATATTGATGGAATAATTCTTATAAATGATTTAAAAACTCGTGTTACGGAGCAGGTCGATCCATATTGATGTTTTTATGAAGCATGTGACACCCTTGTTGGTGTTTTACTCTGATTTATACATTAAACTATTCGTTGGGTTTAAAAGCGTGTTACACTTTGCACTCCCTTTTAGCTTCTTTAATAAACGTTATGATGACATCAGAAGAATCTTCCTTGGTTATACATGAAAGTTATTCAGAACCTTCCTATTCTTCTCTTTTCTGGTTCTGATAGGATTGTCAATCATTATATTATCCTTTTTTAGTCTATCTTTCATGTGAGCCAGAACAGATGCAAATAATACACTTCTATACGCTTCATCCAAATCCTGAGTGGCTCCATATTCTGTCAGCAGATTGACCAGTTTGCCTTAATAGAATAGTTCAAAAAGTAACCTTGAAAGTATTGTTCTTTTGAGTTTCTTGGAGGTGTCTTTGATGGATTCGCATAAGTGATGAAAGATGTAACAAGTGAGGTTTAATCTTTGATCAGTTGTAAGAAACGAGAGAAATAACTTGTGATCCCAGGAAATTTGGTCAGAACTTCCTTCTCGCGGAATTAAACAACCAATAAGAATTTTGAACAGTAGTTTTTGCTCCAGATGCATGTTCTTTACTTTCCCAAAGTCACTTTTATTTTTGAACAGAGCATCCTTGATTTCTTTATCGTAAATTCCTTCATCCTCTCTGTTGTGAATTAACAATCCTTTATTTTCAACCTCAATTAACTTATCAATGTGCTTTTGAGTAATGGTAACTTCCAGACCCATTACAGCAGATCTAATTTCATTACACTTGAACTCCTTTAAACCCATTTATGTTTTGGTTTTTCCTTTCAATTTCTTGTTGTTTGCTATAGAGATTCTTTCTTCAGTCTGAGCAGAGAAATCATCATATACTTCAGCTCTGACCAAAAAATATTTAACTAGCGATGGATAAGTAGGTTTATTCATCATTTTGAAGTAGTTCATCCATCCTTAAGACTCAAAATAATTCTTCAGGCTACAACCATTTGCAGCAAAGCTCTCGAAGTCGATAATTTGCTCAATAAGAAGCTTAAGATTATCCTGATTTAGAGAATAAGTATTTGGTTTGATCTTAAGGTCTTGCATAGAACCAATGTTTAAAGGATTGACAAAAGAAGATGCCACAAGGAGGGTAAAATGGTTTTTCTAGGGTTTTTTAGTTAGGGCACAAGAGTATATAGTGAAAGAGGTTGTGTGTGTTGAAAAGGTGTTGAAATAGATAAAAGACATTAATGACTAATTAAGCACATAGGAAAAGAACAAAACTAATTTATTTTCAAATTCAAGTAATAAGCGTAAGGAGAATAATTCATACATGTGTAAAGTGAAATACATGTGTCAAAACAAATTCACCCATAAAGCATGAAAGAACACAATAACAAAAAACTCCTTTACGTAAGAATATGAATCAGAAAATTTTTAGAGATCATCTTGGAACAAGACTTTTCTTTATCAAGGATTTTGACAAAGACAATTTCTGACAATTGTTCAGATTAAGATTCTTTAAACAAAAAGCCTTCTTCAAAAGTGTTAGGAAAGATTCTAATAAAATAAAGAGAACAAATATCCAAGACACAGGTTCTGAAGGATCTAAGGAAGATTTTATCAGGATAAACAATACTAATGCAAAATAAAAATGAAAAGATAAAGTAGAACTTATTTGGATAGATTTTTTATCCTGGAAGTGAAGTTAGTTTTGATGAGGATCTTGTGATAGGTCCAATAGCTAGTAAGTTGAACACAAAGTCTTTAAATAGCATCATTTGGTCTTGAGACTCGTTGTTCAAGTAGATAGCTTAATTCAACAACTCTTCTTAAATTCATACTGAAATGAAAAGTACACTTTCCCACACAATCTGTCTAAACCACTATGAAGTGTTATACACAAACCAAATTCTGATTCCAATTGAAGGTAGGAAAACACACAAGAAGGAGGGAGGGGGTTAAATTGTGTGAAGCAAGAATGCAGATCTATTTTTTGTTTATTTTATATTCAGAAGAGAGATATGGTTCTGAATAGACATTCAGAACTAGATCATAAATGCAGCAGAACTGAAGCCATACGCGAAGTAAACAACACAAGAAACACAACACACTTATACGTGTTCCTCTCCCAACTGAGAGTACTCTAGTCCCCTTGCTTAGCAGGAGATTTTTACTATAATCAATGCTTGAATACACTTGCTTATGTATTTACACATAAGACTTTTACAACACTAACTTACAGTCTAAAACTTTTTTGTTTAACCAAATCCTGATTAAAACTTTCTTTTGCTTAGAGCTTGTGTCTAAGACTTCACCTGCTCAATAAGCTCTTGATCGAGACTTCTCTTGCTTAGAATACTTGCCTAAGACTTCACCTTGCTTAGAGCTCATGTCTAAGACTTTACCATACTTAACCAACTTCTGATTAAGACTTTTCTTTGCTTCGAGCACATGTCTAAGACTTCTTTGCTCATACCTCTTGTCTAAGACTTTGCCTTTGCTTAGAGCACATGTCTAAGACTTCCTTGCTCAGACCTCATGTCCAAGACTTTGCCTTTGCTTAAAGCACATGTTTAAGACTTCTTTGCTCATACCTCTTGTCTAAGACTTTGCCTTTGCTTATAGCACATGTCTAAGACTTCTTTGCTCAGACCTCTTGTCCAAGACTTTACCTTTTCTTAGGAATATCATATTCAAAAGAAAGGGGAACAAGGTGTATCAAATTTAGAATCAGAGACACAAAGTAATGAACCTAACAAAGATCTTAAGTACTTAGAGATTTCCTGGATATTCAGTATTTAGGAAACCTTAAGCCTTATTACATTTAACAACAATAACAATGAGTTATTCATATACACAATTGTTGTTCACTATTTATCTTTGTTATTTCTTTAATCGGATAGAGGTGTAGAACACCTCTATCCTCTTGTGCATAGCAGTCGCTTCTTGTTTCTCTTGTTCACTATTTTAGTATAACTTTCAACTTCTTAAATAGTAGATTTTTAGGAACTGCTGAAAATTGCAATAGATCGTGTTGGAAACTGCTGAAAATTGCCCAAGCATGAGACTATCTAGACGTCATGACGGACGTCATCCTTGACGGCAACCTGTTCGTCATGATTCGAGCGTGCATAAGACATGAAAGATAAATGCATAACGAGCGTCATGATTATGATGGACCACCTTTATGGCTTCGGTGCTGCTATCTCCTTGTTCCTTCTAAGACCATAAAAATTAAATCAAATAAATATTGTAAAAATAATCATGATCACCAACGATGACCACAAAAGACAAGCCTGGTAAATGAATTTAATTTTAAAAATTATTTACAATAAAAGTCATTGTATCCAAATAACATTCATAATTTACCATATATATATATATATATATATATATATATATATATATATATATATATATATATATATATATATATATATATATATATATATATATATATATATATATATATATATATATATATATATATATATATATATATATATATATATATATATATATATATATATATATATATATATATATCACAATTACGGATATTTAATTGTTGAATGAAAAAATAATTTTAAAATATCGACCTAATTTTAATAATTTTAAAACAAAATTGATAAAGCATTGATATTTAATAGTTAAATTCACTATTTATTTTTATTACTATATTCATATCTCGCAAACCCTCGTCTTTTGATACTTTCAGTTCCTCACTTCAACCTGGGAGTGCAAGTGTGTAACTGTAACGCAATGTTGGGAGGAGCAGCCAAAACCTTCACAAATTGGTTGGGAGGACCTTTCCCATTCACCTCAACAACCGAAACCAAAATCAAACGGTCACCAACTAACCTCTCTTTTCCATCCAACGGCTGTCGTTGCACCACTTCAGTCGTGTCACAGCTTCCACTCACTGAGTCAGCATCTCCAGGTCAGTTCCGAGTCGACATCCTCTCGGAATCGCTTCCCTTCATCCAAAAATTCCGAGGCAAAACCATCGTTGTTAAGTACGGTGGCGCTGCCATGAAATCTCCTGAACTCCAAGCCTCCGTCATTAACGATCTCGTCCTCCTCTCCTGCGTCGGGCTCCGTCCCGTCATGGTTCACGGCGGAGGTCCGGAAATCAACCACTGGCTCAACCGTCTCAACATTCAGCCTGTTTTCCGCGACGGCCTCCGTGTCACCGATGCTGAAACCATGGAGATCGTCTCCATGGTTCTCGTCGGCAAGGTAAATAAAACTCTCGTCTCTCTCATCAACAAAGCCGGCGCAACCGCTGTAGGTCTCTCCGGCATGGACGGCCGCCTCCTCACCGCACGTCCGAATTCTAAATCCTCGGATCTAGGATTCGTCGGGGATGTCGCAAAAGTAGATCCGACTGTGATCCGATCTATAGTAGACAGCGGTCAGATCCCGGTAGTCACATCCATTGCGGCGGATGAATTTGGACAACCGTACAACATTAATGCTGATACGGTTGCCGGAGAATTAGCAGCGGCGTTAGGAGCGGAGAAATTGATATTGTTGACGGATGTTGCGGGGATCTTAGAAGATCGGAATAATCCAGAGAGTTTGGTGAAGACAATTGACATAAAAGGAGTAACGAAGATGATGAAAGATGGAATAATCGGTGGTGGAATGATTCCTAAGGTTAGTTGCTGCGTGCGATCACTGTCGCAAGGGGTTACAACCGCGAGTATTATCGATGGTAGGGTTCCACACTCTTTGTTGCTTGAGATTTTAACTGATGAAGGTGCTGGAACTATGATTACTGGCTAATATGCTTGCTAATCATGTTTTTGATGCTGTTTTTTATTAATAAATTCAAGTTCTGTGTTTATTCCCAATTTTAATTTACTTTCAAGTTGTAATTTGGGGATTTGGATCTTAAGTCCTTTTGTTATCCAGCAGAACTTATGTTACCTATCAAAGTTTAGGTCGTAGCACTAGAAGAAAGCCAATGTAAGTTACTACTTAGCTAAAACATGCATTGGGAGTTTCTTTTGGTTACATTAGATTTTTTTCAACACCTTATATCTTACAAGAAAAACATCTATTAAGGGACTTTAGAGTAATACCAAATGAGTGTAATAGCAAATTTTTTAACGGTGATTTGGAAGAATAAATTCATATGGAACTGCTTGAAGACTTTGTTGTTCTTGGACAAGAAACTAAGGATGGTAAGTTAGACAAGTTTTTGTGTGGGTTGAAACAAATTTTTTAATATACTTATGCTTATTGGAACATCTTGTCAAATGAATTTAAAGCAACGAGCGGTTATATTTTCAACATAGTTAGAGGAGCACTCTTTTAGAAGTCAAAGAAATAAGTGATTCTCGCTAAATCCATGTTGGAATTGGAAATGATAGCTCTTGTTGCCTTTGATCCATTATGATAGTACTGACGACTACTGTAAAAATTGAGAAATGTTACTATAATGTTAAGATACAAAATTGCAAAAATTGAGAAATACAAAATTGCAAAAATTGAGAAATGTTACTATTAAGTTAAGGTACAAAATGTTCATCTTAACGATTATTAGAGATACTCACTTTAAGGGAGCTGACAGATTGAATCATGTATGCACCGAAGAAAATATAGCTGTTTATTTGATGAAATGATTAATTAGAGAGAAAGTTCAAAATACATTCAAAAGGATGAGATTATTATCATTAGATATATGCATCACTTTTAATGGTAACTCGACTTAAAAGATTGAGATCTCAATAATTATGTTTATGGATAATATTAATAATACGTTATTAAGTGATACGGAAGAAACACGATATTGAGCATGCTTTTTGAATCGGTCAGGAGTTAAGGTAATAGTAACTCTTAATGAGATTTATGCTTAATGTGGAGTGAAGTGCCTTGATAGATACACATTGGAATGTGGAAGAGGGTCGCTTCCTATGGAACCTCAGACATTGATTCCTATAGTATTCACCAAACTATGATAACATTGTTAGCCTGTGATTTTCGACACTGGGTTAAACTCATTAGGCATGGTTTGGAGGAGTCTCGGAAACATCCACAAAATTATGATCACTCTCTCTTCAATACATGTTTTTTTATTCTTGTATAAGTTCTACAGTCGAGCGATGATTTCGACATGCTAATGTGGCGAGTTCGACTCACTTGCTAAGTCTGGGGACTTAATAAAATTTTCTTGTCCTTTGGACACTTCGACATTACATTGTGATTTAAATGCGAAGGTCTTCGACAAAATGTAGTTGGAGGTTGTATAGTCGTTTTGCAAACGATTAACGATAATTCAGAGATAATTTAGAGACCAAGACATATGGAAGCACGCTAGAGGCTAGAAACACATGTATTAGGGTACGCGTCGAAAGCTGAAGAAGTCATCGTTGTTGACGGTTATCAATGTAGTAGTATAAAAACAAACTTCTTGTATAGAATTAGAGGTCCGCAATTCTTATTAGAAATTCCTATAGAACTCAAAGTTCCCTAGTTACCGAGAGAAACATATAAGAATTTACACACCATTTCCTTTAAGTCTTTTTCAATTACAACAGTTATTTCTAGGCACGACAAGGAAACTCAGACCCGCCCTGAAATTAACGAGGAAAATCCGATTTAACTGGGTGCGAGTAAAACCCGGTTTTCTATTACGAGTGCAGGGGCGGGGGATGCTACTACACAAAACCCGATTTTCTATTACGAGTGCAAGGGCGGGGGATGCTACTACACGCCCCATACCCGCCCTCCGCCCCGGTCTACTTTAATTTACTTTTATACCTCATTTTAATTATTTTATTATATATTTATTTGATTTATTTTAATTTTTATAAATAGTTTTAATAGAAAAACATGTTTATTAATTATTTTACTCTTTAGAAACATGTATATTATTAAAATGATTAATTATTTAGTTAAATTATTAATTGTTATGGAAAAAATATTTATTTTAAAAAAAAAATTTGCGGATAGGGGCGGGGTTTGGGCAGGAAACCCGTTCTCCATTGGGGGCGAGTTTGGGTGGTAGTTTTTTATCTCCGATTGGGTGCAAGAGAGGCAGGTGCAGGGGCTGGGCTTCTTAAACCCGCCCTGATGTCATGCCTAGTTATTTCATAACATTTCTTATACTTTTGCTTATTATATTTATCCAAATTTATTACAATTAAAATTTATATTCAGTTCATTGACATTCAAGCATTTAACTTTCAATCACAAACACTTTTTTTTCTTTGCATTTCTTTCTACACAAATTATCCTTGAGATTTTCGAGTTTAACACGAACTTTTGAAGAATATAATCTAAGAAAAAGTTGTATGCAAGTCTACTGTCAGAGATAAAGTTTAAGATTATGATTATTTTTGTTAAATTTGAATCTTACTGGATATGTTAACGGTAGACACTTTTGACAAATTTATTTGTATATTACTTTATAAAAGCGTTTAACGTTTCTTTTAAAATCTTGTTTTAAATTAAATTTGGATCGTTAAACATTTAATTTTGGAACATTTAATAAAGTAGGTGTTAAATTCAAATATTGACAGTTAATTGAATAAACTCCTATAAGTCACGTTGGAAAATTTTCGCATCCTTAATGTGTACCCTAATAGGTATATAAATTTTGTGGCATGGTTTTGTATTAATCATATTTTTTAGCACTAAAAATTTAATTTAAAAAAAAGGGAAATGAACACGTCACCCCGAATTGTTAACTTTGACTGAGTATTATTATAGTCAACATTCACTGTGCAAGCTATGACATGTTGAACAATCAATTTGAATGTCTCAACTCATAAATTACCTCCCATATTTTTCTGTTACTCTTTGTTTCCATAATAATCATATGTGTATTCATGGCCGAAACTGGAATTTTTGCTATAAGTAGAGACCTTAAGTCACATCTCAAATCACATGATTTTTGTTTCATTCTCTTTTCATCTCAAATTATACATTCAAATTCTCCTTGAGTTTTGCAACCTTAATCTTGTTAGAGTTTTTCATCAATGTATCATTAACATTTAAAAGTAGATAGAAAATAATTTTCTCATTCCTTTTTAAAATATATACACAATTGTCCTAACCACTTATAATAATTTTCCGATTCCTTTTTAATATATATACACAATTGTCATAATTACTTCTCACAACACAAAACTATGATTTATAAGAAATTCATTAAAGAGATTTGGGATTTTCTCAACTAGGGTTTTTATTAGAATAACAAAAGTGTCAATTGCAAAGTTTATCAAATTAATGTATAGTAAAATACAAATAGATAACAATATCGTTAATCTAATTATAATAAAACCCCATTGCACATTATTATCTAACAATATCATGTTAAGTAAAAATTTCATAAGGTCCAATTTAAAATTCATCTTTGACTAGAGTATGAAATTGAAACTGATATTTGAAATGTAACTAGACAAAAAAGTCAAATTATTAGTGTCGCGGTGAAATTTGGATACTAAACTATTGATTAGTTTGAATCTTTAATTCATTTTGCAACCGAACTTTGATTTGTCCAAAGGAAGGGATAAAGATCGAAATTCCCACGATGCAATGCAAATGCAAGGTTTAGAGAGTTTTAGGTTCGGGGGTCGGTTAAACTTAAGGAAGGTACTAGCATCCTAAGTTTCTGTAGTACTCTACAGAAACCTCTTGTTTTATGTTTGTTTATTGTTATGGTTTATCTGCTTAAGGTTTAAAAGACCTAGGGGTTTATTTTCTAAGTATACTCGATAAGATGTCGCATCTTATGCCTACATATCCTTACGGGAGTGGAATCAGAGTATCTGTAGTTCCCCTAAAGGGTTTGAGGAGTTCTTTGACTATGGTCAAAGTTCCTACGGGTTTAGGGTAGTTGGTTGATTGATTTTAGGAGAAGAGATGCGTTGTCATTTTAAGGGAGATTTAACCGCCACAGGTTGTAGGAAAATAGTCTTTGCATCGTCTTAAGAGAAGGGCTCAAGTACTCGGATATTGATCGACAAGTACGCCTCTATCTCTCTTAAGGCAAAGTCCCTACATATTAATTGTATTGATGTGGGGTGAAAGTTCTATCTCGCTTAAGATGATTAACATCTATTTCTCTATTGTGTTTGAATATTTGTTGTTTTGATTGTTTGTTTCTATGTTGTAAAGATAAAGACAAAGGTCCTCATATGGGGTAGGATCTGTCCTAAAAGATCGACTTGAATGACATCAAGGATCGTATGAGAGTATGATGCAAATGATGTGAACTACACACAATTGTTGAATCATGTGTAGGTTTTTCCTTTGGACGGAATGTAATGCGATAAAGTAAATACGGTAATGTAATTGCGGAAGATAATTGCGGATAGAGATAAAACATACACACGCATGAAAGCGCTAAGTGTGTGAATTGTGAATGTGGTGCAAGCGTGCACGATGATTGAATTAGTGTTGGTTGAGTTATTTGTTGAGTTATTTTTAGTTGAACTGTGCTTAGTGAGGTTAATCGATTTTATATGTGAATTGATTTTAGGAAAAAAGTTGTATTGATTTAGTTAAAAGGTGTCTTAATTTTAATTAAATTACGAATTGGTTGATTTTAATTAGTAAAAGTTTTCTTGAATTATAGTTCAATTAAATGGAAAGGTTTTTTTTAGTTAATATTATTAAATAAATTATTTTGAATTATGAAAATATTGTCCTTGTATTATTTAGAAAAGAAAAAATTATTATCTCATTAATTTATTTATTTAAAAAAGGTTTTATTAACTAAGAAAATAGTTTGTTATTATAAACTAGATTTCTATTAAATTAGTTGAATGACTTTA